CAGCTCTAGCAGAGTACGCCATGAAGACTGGCCACGGCATTAACTGGCTTGGTAGTTCTGTAGTTTATAAAGAAGAACGATTGCACCAGAGGAAATGGCTGGAGGCATGGAAGATTGCTAATGAATCATATGCTCTCTTTAATAGAGACAGTGGAAGAACATTGCCTGATAGCTTTCGTAGCTTAATAGGCAATTAAGATCATATAGCGTATCTTAAAAGACAAAAAAAAAAAAAAAAAAAAAAAAAAAAAAAAAAAAAAAAAAAAAAAAAAAAGATAACAAATTATGATAACAAATGATAAAGAAATTTATGAATTTTGAGAAAAAAACTTAATTTAAAAATCTACTTCTAAATAAATAGATGAAAGTCTAGAATATATATTTGTCTTTTTATTGGCAATAATTGCTTAACACAGCAGGATATATATATTAATTTAAAAAAAAATTAACACCAAATCTGATGAACAAATATTAGAAATAAAGAACATTGTCTACTTTCCGGCTGTGTTTGCCATACTGTATCAAAATTCATTTTAATAAAACAAAAATACTAGTAAAAACCCTTTAAATGTATAGTTGATTATATGTAAATGCTAGATAAATTGAAGCAGGAATAAAGGAGCGAACAGAGGTGTTAATCCGGTTATTGGATATAGCAGACTCTTCATTTTTATAAAGACATAAGAATTTTTAAAAAGCCTGTCATAGGACATTAAATAATTAAGATAGAAAGGATTAATATATATATATACGTACTTTGGTCTGAGATGAGTTTTTCTTTCTTCAGAGATTCTTTGTTTTCCTGGCGATGTTTGAGCACGAATCTCTTCAGCAACTTCGCCGATCACCCAAGCAGCTTTCTTGTAAGGAGGACGCGAACCAGTGATACAAATCGTCTCGAGATCAGCATCACTCATCTTAGAATCACTTATTCTTCGATAGAAATTTATCTTCTAAATCGATAGTTTCACTCTAATTCAAAAATCGGAAATTTCATTTGGAACCCAATCAATTGAGAAAGACATTCAGATGTCAGCTCCGGTGTAAACAAGCGTTGTTCAGTTGAAGTTGTTTCCAGAAGGTTCTCATTTCTAGTGCAAATTCACATATTTTCTGAATTAAAGTTAGAAGAATTCCGCTGCAAAAAGCTAGAATTCTTCCCAAACTTAGTAAAAGAATTCGAATGTGTAGAAACTTTCAGAAAACGAGCAGTATTTGCATAATGTTCAGCGGCCGTTTACGTTTCCATAGTAACGAAAGTAATTCGACGCGACGGGCGACTGGCTTGAAGAAAGGAACTTGAAAAACAACTTGGTCTTTTATGCTCAGTCAATCGATAACCACTTGGAGAAAATTTGTTTTGTCAAAAACAGTTTTCAAAATTTAATAAAAAGATTGGAACAACTTACGATAGTTTTTGTCTCTTTTATTCAGCATTAGTTTTAGCACTCTCTTCTTTCGCATACCCATAACACCTTGCGGCTTTTGGGGGTRCCCAGAGGGTAAAAAACCGCACCTTTGCTGAAGGCCGATCAGACAATGTTGAATATACCTCGTTTGATATCCAAACTATATAAAATGAAACAGTAAGTATCAAAAAGAGTTAGAATCTTGAAGAAGTTTAAAGTAAAATTTCAAATATTTTTCGTAAGTTACAGCTGTAATACATTTTCTGTAACGCCAAACCTTTTGATGTCCTGAACGCGCAAAATTAACTCAGAATGAACTGACAATCAATATTGTACAGATAAAAGCAGGTATAGTGTACAGTCAATTGAAGAACGCTTTATTTTGGAGAAATGATCGTTAATTCCCCAAGGCGCAAAGCATTTAGATTCTAATTTTCTCAGGTCTAGTTTCAACTTGAATATAAACGTTCGAGAAGTATCCAGAAGTTCTCAACTAGTATCATTGATAATCAACTTTGCATTATAAGGGTAAATTTAATAGTTTGCATTAATGGGGATTCGTGGCCCTCAAAAAGGTGTCTCTTTCGGTGAAAGAACTTTGGATAGAATGGAAATACGGATAAAGCTAGTCGGGCCTTCCGACAATTTGGTTCTGTAAAACCTTGATGGCCCCTCTTAAACTGAAAATGGACTGCGTGAACAATCAGTCCCTTATTACTATCTGGCTGATATACAAGCTCTCAGTGTCAATCATATAGTACTGCACATCTTTAGTTCAGGATAAACAACAACGCTCTCTTGCCAGTGAGTCTCATATGTGTAAAATCGACACTAATCGACCTGACAAGCAATAATCCTAGCCTAAGTACTGCATGTTTTTTCAGAAGTCTCTGGATTAACGTTGCGCAACCAATTGCACCATGCGACACGAGTTCTCAGAGTTCACGAAAGTCGAACTATTGTCTACTCTTTCCGACTTGTAGTCGGACTTGTGTCGGGGAGAAGTTTCAAAATGGCTTGAGCAGCGTAAAGGCAATTGGTTTCCTCTGACATTATATTCTTCGATCACGTTACGTCATCGCAGCCATGTTGGTGTTATCTAACGAAAGGGCCTCATTAGGGACTGTGCAATAATTATCGGGAGGGGGAGGGGGTCTAAAATTTTCCAAATTGGGCTTAAATTGAAGCTAACTCCCCCTGTGCTAAACGTAAAATAACTTCTCACCCCTCCCCCTTTTGAAATGAAATAACTATCACCACCCCCCATCCCTACATCGCCACCAACGCCCTCGAAAAAAAGGACGCACACGTTCCTCTACTTGCCTTCACATATTTACTTGTCCTATATCCTCATCTGCCACAAACAAAACTTGAAAGCTTTCTTCGACATGTCGCTCATTGTCAGAGCTATCTTCGCTTGATTCGACTTCAGAATCACTCCACCTATCATCGCGAGCGGACGTGTTTAGATCATCTTCTTCCTCGAGTTCTTCAGTTTCAAGTGTTTTAGATCCTCTAGCATGCGAAAGTACACGTTCAACTAATTGTRCTTCGTCCCCAGATACTTTTTGACCTATTTGTTTGAGATACAGTTGCAGTTGCTTATTGGTAAGTTTTTCGACGTCTTCTTTGTTCTCTCAACATATGTCTGGTACACAGTTTCTTTCGCTTCAAGGTGCTGAACATATTCTATACATGTGCTTTCGGCAATGTTTAGCATTGAGCATGCTTGCTGTACAGCGTTTTTGTTCGAAGAGGACAACTCTCCTTCAAGAACCACCTTCTTCACTTGGACACTAGGAAGCATGCTGTCTATCACCCATCGCCGGAGAGGTTGTAACACTTTCATCAACTGGCAGGTACTTCTTGGCCGATGATGAATCTAATGCTAGCAGTGGAGATCGTTTTATATGGGAATACCACTAGCATAGCATAGCACTAAATATCATGAACATAAAACTAGAAGAATTATTACAAAGTAAAACAAAAAAGACATGACATAGTCAGTTGTCTTATATACAGTCAATCAATGTGGCATAACTTTACCACAGTACGGTATAGAAAGTTGTGACTTGTACTGTTCTTAGTACTGTTTTTTGTACTGTTCTTATTACAAAGGGTACTTAGTTTATACATTATTTCAACACATATGGTTTTGAGGTTGCACCTGTGACAAGTTGTTGTGTTCTTTATACAGTAACTAATTCTAAAGATTTTTTTTCCATCCGATGCTTCAGGTTTTTAATGTGAACGAGATGCGCACAATTCAACGCCTTTGGCTAACATTATAACGGCTAAATGTTTGGTTCGTCGCGGAGAAAATTCGTTACAGGAAGTGCCGTGGGCACGCACCTGAGAAGTGTCTGTATTCAAAACAGCTTTATTCATTTTAAACATTTTAAAGTCTTTTATTGATTTCAACAGATGAAAAAATATGTCACCTTTGATATAATCTTGCTCTGTTCATGAGACCAACGCGTTTCTACGAACCAAAGTCCCTGTTTCAAGGGATCATTACCAATATCTTTGAACGCTAGCCACCACCAAGGGCAACTAGTCAATCGTTTAAGGGGGATTATAGGCCTTTTTACTGATATTGCGGCCATCTTTGATTTTATTGTTCTAACTTTAAGACATTATGGGATGCTGAGGGGGCAACTATTGGAAAATTTCTAGACTACACAGCTGTCAGGTTGTCTTTTTATATAACCTTACACTTTCAATGAGGAAAAACAAATCTAAAAAGCAATTGAATTTAGTAGTGAGTTTGAACAATATATATGAAACAACAAGACTTCAATTTGAATGTTTGAAAATGTAACGGGTCCCCACGTTATGCTTTATGACGTTCTACGTTTGCTCCCTCGGTATCCCATAATTCAAGATGGCCGCCGCGTGCGTCAGTAAAATAGTTTGTTACTTTCTTACACTTTTTCCGTGCATTTCATTCATGCATGGACTAAAATGCCCTAATTGTTTAATTTCTACTATGTTTATTCTTGCACGAAGCCTGGATAGCGCTATCCGAAGGATAAATCTTATCCAGTGGCTAAATTTATAGAGGTTTTGCACCATCACGTGCCCATCCCATAATACTGCTTGGGCTTCCTGTGGTTAGATGGCAGAACAATTAAATCCCTTTGCGCTTGCGAATTTGATTCTTTCTCGAGTAAAACGACTGTATTGTTTCTGCCATCTAACATGGCTGCCGTCACGTGGTGGTGCAAAACCTCTATTGGAAAACAATATCGACTTATCCACTGGATAAGAATTTGTCCGCCGGATAGCGCTATCCAGGCTTTGTACAACCGGGCCCTGGCCTATAAGTCCACTTCTGTACGCAGAATAACTGGTAACGTAACTATTTTTTAATTGAGCGCGACTACAGTGGATCTTATCAAATGGTTTCCGCTTTAAGCCAATCAAATACGTGCGAACAAGCACTTCAGTCAATCAAAATGCACAGATGAAAGACAAACATGTGTTTCCCACTCAAGCTGCTTTAAAGTCTAATCCTCACAATTGAGCAAAACCTTCCTTTCTTCACGTTATTCACGACTTACTAACAGTTGTCTGAAGAATACCCACTGAATAGGTGTGAGTGACCGATTGGAGTATACATCTGTCAACAAGACTCTTAACACTAAACAATCACTAGACATTTAGAACTGAATTAACACATGTGGTATGGTTTTCCGTGAGCGTATTGTGAAACTGCTACCAAAAATAGAAGAATGACATAAATAGTAACTCAATGTAAAGATGTCCAAGATTGGCGTCACAAAATGAATTCCTAGTTAAGTCTTCGAGACACAAGTAGGGAAAGATTTGATTCAAAATCTATTTGATGTATGGTAATGGATAGGGAAGTTGGTAAAAAAAATGTATTACGATACAAGAGTAGATTATTTGTAATTCTTTGCTTTATAGAGACCCCAGTGAAACTTAAACCCTCCTTGTGTTCAATTAAACAAGCATGTACAACTTAAATGTCACCGGACACGAGTGAGTGCTAACTACTGTTGTTCATACACTCGAGTAGGGAAACTATCCCACAGAGACAAACATGTGCAAGCTATAGTCTGGGATGTTGTATATATATATGATAAGACTTTTAAGACCGTACACCATTCAGAAGAATTCAATATATATCGTGGAAATCATAGAATAGCGTTGACTGACGTGAGAGTATAAGACTTCAACTAAGATTTCAATAAGGTACGTATGATCGTGTGATCCTTGGCTATGTAATAAATGAATTAGAGATTATGAAGTGCCATACTGGTGCGGTCAGTAAACTGCACGCACGAATAGGACATCTGCCCGACGCCTGGAGATGAATAGTTTACAAGAAGATTACTGAATAATGGGGCATTCGCAGCTCAAGTCGGTATATAGTATTTTACTAGCTATATATATATATATATATCAGGGTTCGTGCTGAGGTAACAACTTAAAATTTAAGGACTATTCAAGAGTATACGAGGACCCAAAAATGATTTTTCAAGGAGTATGTTAAGCTAACTATGCCAAGATTTTACACGATAGTTTCACATGGCCGACTTTCAGATTTTCCAATCTTTTTGACTAGATCTATTTCAGAACCATGCAAGTAATGATCAAAGCAAAAATTAGTGTAGTTTTCAAGGAGTTTTGCTAAAATCATAAAATTCAAGAGCTTTAAGTGCCCTTAAAAACGTGAATGAAATTCAAGGAGTTTTCAAGGAGTTTAAGGAGTAGCACGTACCCTGATATATATTTGTATATATATGAATTTTAAAATTTGGGCGTAAAAGAAAAACATCACGACGGTGGACTTTG